CTTTCTTTCCAAGTCACTCATGAAAAGTTCTGCAAGGAAGGGGGATAGAGGGTTGCCCTTTAATTTTATTTTTTAATTTTATTTTGTGAGTTTGAGTTTTTTAATTTTCCGATTCTTCTCTGTTTTCTCATTTAATTAGCTCACAGTTTGTTACCTCGGTTTTTTCCGTTAGTTTCGTTTGTTTTCGACTCTTTCGGTTCGTAAAGAAGGGAATGTTTACTTACGGTGGTAAGTCTGGCCCGGAATTCTGGAGCAGTCAGATATTGTTCATCGAAGTTGATGATTAGGATGTTTGAGTGAACATTTTCAGGATCAACATTGATGAAATGGCAGTTCAAGTCATTGATGCCTAAAACAATGGACAGAGGGTTTAATGGTGCAAGAGAACTATTTCTCACTAAATGAGAGAGTAGTAGAGTAGTTCTTTTCATCAGTGGTTTAGGAGAGTCAATTTCCTGATTTTTTTATTTTGTTGACACTTCAGGTGCTTTTAGTGGTGTCCTCTTGTTCCATAAATGATAAAGAGAGGAGGCATGCAGCATCCTAAATTACTTGTCTCTGAATAAAAGAGGGTAAAGGGAACAAAGTAGTCCGAGACTGGTGCAGCTTTTGATGCTATTTGCAAACCTCTTCGACTTTTCCTACTAACAGGACATAATTACCAATTGGCTGATACATGCATAATAGACACACAATTACGCCAATATACTTGTAATCAATCTCTGTAAATCATTACTTGTTAGAAAAATGAGAAACTACCCATGCTTCAGTGTTATTTAGATGTATTTCTGCTAAACGGAACTATGTGCATTATGACGTGAGCCCTGTTATGCATATCGACGGTGTAAGTCGGCAATCACAGAACTCATTTAGGGTGTCTGAAAATCTCCGCCTCTATGTTATTTTTTTGAAGGAGAACAAATTGACATCATTCCTTGAAGTTTTTGCAGAATTTTCTTTGCTTAGAGAAGAAAAATTGCGGCAGTTTTAAAGAATTGGCATTGAGTAGTTTTCTGTTTAAAAAATAAAGTACGATAGGAAGTCTGCAACGTCGGAAACTGAGTTATGTGATTGCCAACTTACACCGTCGATATATTCTTATGGGTCTCAGGGCTCATGTCTAAATGCATATAGATAGTTCTGCTTGGCAGAAATACGTCCATTTAATAAGTTATTATTACTGTTTCGATATAAAACAAAATAATAAACTAAATAAAACATAATTGTGAAACCAGAAGATAAAAGAGTCTGCAACACTTGAACATTTTTAGAGAAAAGAGTAAGACTAGGGATTATGCTTCACCCCTTCCTACCCATTCTTCTTCAGTAGATAAATGATAAGTCTTGTGGACTTACACTTAGCAATAGCAAGGGTTCTGCGATGATCATCAACTAGTCTGTCAACCATGTAATCAAGGGCATAAATTCCTGCTGCTGCAACTATTCCAGCCTGCCTCATTCCACCACCAAGACTTTTGCGTAAACGCGTTGCTCTGGAACAGAATTCAAGTTAAATTATCAATTTTAGTCTATACTTGATAAGGCTAATTAAGGAAATTACTGATAAAATTGAATTTTGAAAAAAAATGGAGATTTAAAAGATAATCCTCACAGAGTTGAGATTCAAAGAATAATCAGCATGTGTAAAAAGTATGTAAGTTGAAACAAGGCTGCAGTATTGAAAGATGATAATGCAGGCTGTTTTAGTGCCTAGTGGCTGCATCAGAAACTACAGGCAAATGTTAAAAAATTTACCACCGATGGGAGCTAGATGGTTGTAGATCAGAGGCTCTTTCTGGGGTGTTACAATCAACTTGTCATAACCATGTAATTAATTCACCAGATAAAATTTTCATTTTTAAAAATTTAGCCTTATTTCCATTTAGTATTCTTTCTATTAAATGCGCTGTTTCAGGCTACTGTATCGCCCTTTCTTTACACTGTAAAGTATGTATTAGTATGTATTATCTGAGAAATTTTCCTAATGTTGGGAAAAAAGTAAGAAAAATCTTAAGCTAAGTCCAAAAACTGAAGGGGAAGTCAAAAAGAAACTGATTTTTTCCCTACAACTGTTAGGGTCTAGAATGGTTTGGAATGGACCTTTAGTATGGGTTGCTTTTTAAATAAATGAGATGAATCTAAATGTATAGCCTAATCTTTGGCAGACAGTACAATCATCTAGAGACAACAGAGGCAATGTAGACAACATGCATTTCACTAAACTTTAACTCACTTCCTAACTCACTTTTAACTCACTTTTCTATCTGATTTACTAATCTGAAACAACGCGAAATACATACTTTTTAATGAAGTCTGCTGATCCACAGAGTACTGAGCCAATAGGCGCACCAAGACCTTTGCTAAGGCAGAAAGTGACAGAATCAAAATCAGCGACGATGCGACTAACAGGAACGCCCAGGGCAACTGCTGCATTGAAAACTCTTGCCCCATCCATATGAAGTCTGAAATTGAGTTTTTTTGACAAGGCTCCAAGCTGAGTAGAGAAGAAAAGCAATGACAACTTGAACTTTGATTTGACAGGAAAATTATTCATAATGATGAGAAATGCAGGTTCTTCCAGGTTACTTTGCGTCTTACAAACGTTTCTTGCAAAATATAATGTGAGTTGCTGAGCGTTGTGGCGCCAAAAAATTGGGAAACTAACCTTTTGAAAACTCCTTTCCACCTCCTTTTTTTGTTTGGTAAAGAGACAAGGCAATTTTTATCGCATACAGCTGCAGCAAAATTGAATTCAAACATAGCGAATCGCTTCAAATGAAAAACTCATGAGCTCACTGCAAAATTAGCCGCGAGATCTAGTATGATAAGAGTAATATTTTGCTGGCTCAAAAAGTAATGAATACAAAGCATAACCATGTAAGAACTATTTGAGTCATCTAGGATGTGATGGTCTAAAACAAGGGTTCTACATCGAAGAGATCTCAGGGTAGGTAATATTGTTGAAACTTTCGAGTCATCCGAAGGGCTCTTGTTACTTCAGCAGGCAATGAACTAAAGTTTTTTTATTAAGTTGTCAATTATGAATTTTTGCACTCATTTCACTGAGTCTTTAAGACCTCAGATCTCTTGCAAAAATACTTTGTTTTAGAAAAGCAGTGTATTTTTTTTAAAAGAATGATTAAAAGTTACAGAAACCTTGATTAAATGCTAGATTAAGTATGGACTGGTGCTGAAGTATGAATTTGGATCGATTGCATCTTGATTAGATTCAAAACTACACATTGTTGATACCCCTTTCCTGGGATAGGAAACATCAGATTTGAGATAGATTTGTTTCTTTCCCTCTTTGATTTGATTGCAATTAATCAGTTATCTAATTTAATACCTACAATTAGACATTTTTACAAGAAGTGAATCACGATATTGATTATTATGGACTACATTAATTTACCTCATCCAGCCATTTCAAAGGCAGTACTTTTCCACCGCAAAAATTGTGCGTATTTTCAACACAAACGAGAGTAGTTATAGATTTATGAATGTCGACTCCACAATTGAATTCCGCTTGCAGTTCATCGAGACTAAAAGTTCCATCAGGTCGGTTCTTCAAAGTTCGTACACTTACTCCACCAATCTGCGTAACAAAAGACAAAGTGAAGGACACTCAATTTACCTTATATTGAAGAGCGAGATAAGCACATCCTCATCTCAGGTGGATTGCTTGCAGCGGTAGATTTCATCTTTGTGACGGTTGAATTGCGATTTATTATTGAAATTTCTCGAGAGCTTTTGCGTTTTTCTAACAAAAATGCTTATTCTTCTACCAATATGTCTTTGCTCTTCATCTAGACGAAGCAGTTCGTTTTATGGCAGATTGATGAATTATTTGTTTGTGGGTGGTGAGACGTATTGAGGAAATTTTTAAACAAAAAGCAACAATTTAATTCACTCCTTTTTTATATCTTGTTCAGTTTTTTAGATGATGAAGCTAATATTTTATTGCCAAAATGTTGAATTGCCATGTAAAACGGAGAAGAAAAACATGATTTCATATATTTTGTTTATCTGTCACACCATGGGACGAACATAACTTTGGTCTGATTATTTGTCACATAATGTCAATTGGGCTGACTGAAAATTTTCTGAACCTATGAAAAGGTTGAAGAAGTGTAAAATTTATATTTCTAATATTTTTACTGACTGACGTAAGTGAGGCATAACTAGATGGCATGAAATCGAGGACGCATTGAAAACAGTTTTGTGTGGTCCGATCAGTTTAATTCATTGGTTTCTCTGTACATGGATGAAAAAGAAATCAGGAGCTTAATATTAATTACAAATAATAACAAGCATTTTTAAACTTACAAAACTTCAGAGATTTAACATCAAATACCTGAGCACATCCTCCTTGTTCCCACAGTACAATGTGACTCTTGTCTCCTACAATAGCCTCAGAACTCCGCTGTTCACAATGAACCAAAACTGAAAAATTAAATCAAACTTCACATTAAACTGTCTAAACAGACGGATGTAAAAAGAGGCAGCTTCAAATAATGTGACTGAAGATTAACTTAGTAAAAGGAGAGCTATTACCGTGCAGGCTATTACTTTGTTGGTGATAGCCTATATATATTGTCTATCTAAAGAGTGCAAAATACACTCATTATTAAAATATGAGGCATATTGATTTACAACGTTGCAGAGTTCCTGCCATACTTTATTTTTTGACATGAAAAACTACTCAATGACAATTCTTAAAAACTGCTGTGATTTTTCCTCTCTCAACAAAGAAAATTCTGTAAAAACTTAAGGAATAATGATAATTTGTGCTCCTTAAAAAAATAAAATAAGAGTGGAGATCTTAGGTACTGCAAACGAGATATGCAGGTTGAGAGTTTCATCATCGATGCAAGATGTATTGAAAATATGTATAAAATAAGGAAAGATGAGCTGAAAAAAAATCCCTACTGTTTTAACCTGATTGGTCTGAGGCTGAAATTATTAACTATCATGGGGATAATTTTTGTTTTTCTCATTGACAGTACCTAGATGGTTCACATATCTAAACAAATTAACTATAAATGAAAGACTAAATATCTTTACAAGTGAAGAACCTATCTTGAAAGTTTGAAAGGAAATAAAAACTTACCAGCAACCAAATTTCCCATAGTTCCACTCGGCACAAACAATGCAGCTTCCTTCCCTGTGATGAGAGCTGCTTTTCTTTCGAGCTCTGAGCAAAAAACAGAGAAAAATAACATAAAATCAATCAGAAAAACAGTCTGGACATTTGCTCTGTGGAGAGAAAAAAGGAGGAAAAAGATAATTCGAAGACTAGAGATGAAAGGCTTGGAAGATTCTACAATGATCAAACAATTTAAATGATACGTCTACAAACATAGCATGCAGGTAAATGCAGTTTTTTTCTGGCCTTTGGTAACTACTGATAGGTATGGTTCACTGAGAAGACATTAAAAGAACAGAATTGGAACCACAACCAGAATTGTATAGAAAGGGGTGAAATTTTTTTCAAGCTGAGTTGGTACCATCTTAAATTACAAAGCTACTTTGATCCAATTTTTTAGGCAAGGCCTATCTGACACCCTATAACCGCAGATCTGAGACCGTACTCTCTCTCTATAATGACCCCTGTTGTAACAAAAATGTTGCTATAAGAAAGGAATTGTCCGGTCCCTTATACTTTCTCTGTTTATTGAGTGCCGCTCATTATAATGAAGATCTCTCTACAAGAAGAAATTGTTCAGTCCTTTGTGGATTCGTTATAAAGAGAGAGAGAGAGAGAGTGAGTGCTGTAATTGTATTCCATTGTTTATGAGGCAAAGAAAAATTGGTTTAGTAGCAATAGGGACACAAGTTGGGGTTAGTCAAGGCTTATTATGCAAATTCAGAAAATCTTAATATTTGAGAGAAATACTCACATCAAGTGAGCCTCAATCTCCATCAAAAAGAATTCGGTTTCGACCAAGTCTAGACATTCTCGGTTATCTGCTCCCACTCTCAAAAAAACCAAAGAGCCATATTGAGAATGGGTTATTCAGTCCCGGCTACAAAACGCCGTTCTGCGCCATCCGGTAACCGTTTGAATTCAAACAAATCTGGCATGCCTTGTTGAGGCAATGCTACAGAAAACGGAGAGTTTCACAGCACCAGTCACTTTTTGACTCAAATTGAAGTTAGCAAAGTACGTGCACACTGCAAAAGCAAGAGTTCTACATTTGAGAAAATACTGCTCACATTAAAGTGACTGTGATAATGACTTTAAATTAAAGTTCACTTCCAATTAGTGACAAACCCTAAACTCTAATTTTTCCAATGGTTCCTTTGTAACAGCTTCATAAAAAAGTTCACAACATAGTTTCAGATATGCTTCGCCCCTCCCCCCACTCCCCTTCATCCAAACATGGCAGATCTTTTGGTTGATCAGAGCATGTTCCTGTGTGAACTCTTTATTAAAACTGTTCATTATTTTTTTCAAATTTGTTGAAATCATGCTATTCAAATTTTCACCACTTTTTTTCTTTTCCTTTTTTTTAAAAAAAAAACTGATTTGAATTTAAGAAAATATTTCAGAATTAAAATAAGCCTCTTTACAAATAAGAAGAAATTTGTCAATGGTGAAACGCAAAATTGCAAATCTATTGGTTTGTTTCTTGTTTCTTTTTTTTTTTCGAAAGGAAAGTTTTGTGTGCATTCATTAAAGGTGTAACATCAATTAATTTCCTTCAATTGTCTGTTCGTGGATGATTTCTAATTTGACAATCCGTTTCCTAACTCATTCACTTGGACAGGATTTTTAGTCCAAACTTTTTGAATTTAGTTTCTACCACCCCAAATTAAGTTCTTAACTTATTCATTATAAATTATTTTGCGTACCATTGACAGTTGGATCCTCTTTGTAGACATCGTCACCCACTTCAGCGTTGAACATAGCAATGCGCATTTGCTCCTCTGGTTTGGACAGAGTATCACTGCGTAGATCTATGACCTGCGCCTGCAATGTATCAAAATAACTTGTTAAACATCATGATCCAAAGCAAACAAGGTTGATAAAAATAAGATCTCAAAAAAAAAAAAAAAAAAAAAAAAAGTTACCGACATGGTCGTTTTGAGCACGGATGCTCTTAAAAAAAAAGAGTTGACACGCATTTTCGTAATAAAAAATTAAAATGAAGGTGTTCTAATTAGCAGAAAATGTGAGCTCTGGTAAGTGGCGAGTGGCGTGGAGTGAATGATCGATTATCGATATTTCCCCATTTAAAGGTATGGTAAAGAATTGATTATTGAGGTATTCGTTGCGAACACCCTGACTATCGATTCTTTTCCTGGGTTTAAATGGCAGATCAATCGATATATCGCAAAGCACGCCACGCCACTGGCTCTGATATATTGCAAAGAGAAGTTATTTTAATTCACTTGCGGAATTTTCTCTCCTCCAAATTAAAAAGGATGCAGCGAATTTATTCATAGACATAATTGAGAAATCAGGGCGGGAGCAGAGATGCAAAATTTCAAGAAACTTAATAAAATTAAAATCAATAAATTTTTTTGAAATTTCTGCAATGGACTCAAGGTGAAACGCATAGAGAGAGTAAAAATCTTAATTTTTAAATTTTGAAGGAAAAAAAATTATGAGATAAATTTTGAAGTTTCTTGTCAAATTCTCGGGCAGTTATTGCGAGTTGTATACACAGCACCTGAAAAATCGTTGGAATTTCACTTTTTAGCGAAATAAAAATTCGTGAAATGGGTAACTTCTCGTGAAATATCATGTTTCGTCTATGAGCAAGAGTGGGGAGTAGGTCAAAAATCAATCACCTGGTCGATGAGCACAGACATAACTGATGATGATAGACTAGTCAATGAAAAGAATTAATATACTATGGGACTCAAAAATAATTTTCAAAAAACGAAATTGCTTAGGAATAGATTTGGATGGATGAATGTAACTCGAAAAACACAAAACTCGAATCGGACGTAAGGCTTGGAGGTTTGGTGTACACTAGACACACTCTGGGACGTATAGTTATGCAACTGGGGCATACAACTAGATGGCCTTCGGGGAGGACACATGGGAATGTCCACACAAGTTCAGAGGTGGCATGAGTTCTCTTAGCAAAGGCATCTGCTTTTGCAAAGAGGGAAACCCCTTTTTCGTGCATCAACTCTACCGTGATACTGAAGATGACTGCAGTTAATCCAAGAATCAGCTCTTGAGGAAATGGACACTTTGCACTGGAAAAAAAGTCGCTTGGATCTAGAGTCCAGACTCTTAAAAACATTGACAAGAAAAAAAAAATCTTGATTCAATCGGACTTTTTGCTTGAATCAAAAGGAAATCTACCTAAATCAAGAGGCTCGGCTCTTCCATTCAAGGGAAAATCGGATTGACTTAGGAGTACTTTTTCTTGTGAAAGTTATTAAGAGTCTGGACCCTAGATCCAAGCGACTCTTTTTCAAGTGTCCTCTTTGAGTGGAACATAATGCGGAAAAATTGGATAAAGCCTCCGTTTTTCGTAAAATCTTACTGTATAACTGGACAAAGATTCTCACGTTTAAAATTACTTAACTTCTCAAAAATTAAAAGTAAAGAAAAAGACTTACGTTGTCGTAGTACAGATTATCATCGACGTACATCATCTTGGGAGAGGTGTTGGAGACCAATCGAGATTGAGAGAGATTAGGACAGAAGATCTCCGAAGAGCCAAAAGCTTTGTGTAAACAAAGTTTGAGTCCTGGAATGAAAGAAAATGAAGCAGTTGAGAGACGAGCTCGATCAAAAAAGTCGAATGTGCCTGAAAATCTGCAATGCTGCGAACCGAAATACTGGATTAATCGTAGGTTTACTATTGGGATGTCTGAGATCATTTCTATAGCTATGTCTATGCCTAACTATATTTAATTTACAGGACTGTGTCTATGGCTAATACAATTCTGTAGGGCTACGTCTGTGGCTGTGTCCATACTGTACGGCTATGGCTGTCTATGGTGGTGTCTATAGCTATGTCCATCATATGCCGGATATGTCTATGGCCGCCTCATCTTGGCCATGGAGGTATTTCTTTCAATGAGCAATGTCTGATTGGTCAATACATGACACTTGTCACTGCCACTTGTCAGTTTAAGCGTATGACTCGGCTCGGAGACTTAAACGCAGAGTAAAGAAAGTAAACCTTGGAATTCCGCCCATTTAAATACGGTATTCTAGTTTTACGTAACATTTCGAGAGGACGGGATGAAAGGGGTACGTAAATGCAGAGTTACTGTTTATCAAGAGGGGGAAAAGGAGCTCTACCACGCCACACGCACCACCTAAGAGCATTCTGTAGAACTTTTTTGCGGGGAAAACAAAGATTTCTGTTTCGACAGATCCAATTGGAAAATAAATATAACTGTGGGTGTTTTATATTCAACAACAAATACTTCAATGGAGAGGGTGAAGGTTCGGAGCTCCAGATGCGCTCAAAGGAGGAAGGAGGGTTAAAAATCGGGAAAAGGCCTCGAACTGACTTTAATTTATTGGCCGGTGTCTGTTTACACTTTAACTTCCGAGCGAAAACGTTACAGAGGGTATCACACAGGACCTCTTTAAATATTCAGGTGGTTATAGGTTTTAATTCCTCCCCATAAATAAATCGAATCAATCCGCATGAATCAACACAGCTTGATTCACTTGAATGGAGTGTGGAACCGCACTACGAGGCGGAAAAGAATCCGAGTTGGAATATGCGGCCATCTCCGTCGCGTGTAATAAGCTCCTTCAATTTGGATCGAAGCAACCATCATTACAATGCGAAAAAGATTCTGGGTTGGACTATGCTGTCATTAAAATAAATGTGCCAAAAAACCAAATAAAGGGATTATCGGACCGGAACGAACGCTGCACAAGGTAAATGAAGTATAAAAAATAATACCGGGAACTCGAAGATATAAGAAAAAATATACATCATAGTGCTTTTCTTTTTTAGTGATCCAAAAGCGGCTAGTAACGCTCAGAGCTACTCCTAAATATTTTTCTCCGAATATGACTTAGTTTTTTTCTGTTTGATCCTCTATGGCATGGTATTACTCATTTGTAACAACTAACAAAGCATTTTTTCAGTTTTCTAAAACTTGAATTATTCCCTTGTGGCAGGATGTTGCAAATTTTTATCCGTGTTTTCTTTTTTGAAGAGATGATTGCCTATCAAAAATTCGAGGTAATTTGGGACTCAATGTTTTTGCAAAAACTATATCGTTGATGTAAGTATCCCGAAATCCAAGATCCAAAATTAATTCATGTCATAGAGAGTTCATTTTAAAAAAGGAGCAGAAAAAATTCTACAAAAATGAAAAGAGAACCTAAAAACGATGAAAACCTCGAGAATTGATTCTTGAAATGAGTAGGAGCGCCTAGTAGAAAATCAGCCGTCTCGTGAAGGCCTTGATCTCGTGAGCGTTTAACGAAACTGATAGGAAGTTAATTAGATAAAAAAAAAGTTAGTAGCGCAGCCCGCAGCGTTTTTTCAAATCCGCTTCACCGATAGCCAGGTAAGCCGAAAGATCACCCCCCGCGGAGATCTCGAACTTGAAGCATGAACACTGTGGAGTGTTGACGCAGATCAGGGCGGCGCACAGTGGATCGAGTCAATAAGAGAGGTCGGACAAAATTTGATAACTTCAAACGCTTATAACTTCGTTTGCACAAAACTTTGGGGTTCTAAAGTAGTTTCATTGGTTTCCTCGTGAAATTTTCTTCTGAAAGCACTATTTAAAATTTAAAATGTGACGAAATAGGCATCAAAATGTGCAGTTTTAGTAAAAATTTTTATGTCCGTCCTATCTGATTGACTTGATCCACTGTGCGGCGCGCGGAGGTTATCGGGGCTTAACTATTCTTCACACCACGCTTTTCGTAATTGGGGAGCGAGGGAAGATAATGACGTGAAATAACAGGGGTTTATCGCTCCAAACTTCTGATAGGCGTTGATGGAACATGACTTAAAGAAATGGTGAGGGAGTCGAGAGATAAAAAACGGGATAATTGTTCCCCCCCCCCTCCCCCACTCTTAAGGCCCGAACTCCTCCGGTTGCGATCGAAACTGATTCGATAGAGCATGTCTTGTAATAATTGCCTGATTCTGTGGTTCATTTTAACACTGATTGTGAGCTTTATTTTCTTCTCTCTTCAGCCTAGAGGTGAAAATTGTTCTAGGCCTCCGCAATTTTCCGAAAGGCCTCTACAATTTTTTGCAACACGCTGGGTTTTCGTAAACGGGTCGACGCAACGGATCAAAATTTTGTTGATTTTTTGTTAATTTTAGAATGTGTGCCAAAGTCGCATCATTCCACATAAATTCAACATCTAAAAACTGAAAAATCTTCATTAAAAAAAAAAAAAAAAAAAAAAAAAAAAAAAAAATCTCAGCCTTCACAATTTTTAGGGCAACTCCGCACAATGTGGTCGCGAGTGCGCGGTTGAGAAGAATTTACACCATTACAATTACAGAAATTTGGTCAGCGGACCGATTATTGAAATTGATAGACAAAGCAATAGAAAAATAAGACAAAAGGGATATGGAGGGATCCCATTGGTGGAAGTGGGTGGATGCGAATTAAGAAAAAATATTTTGAACGTGAGAATAGTGGTTAATTTTTGTCCTTGCAATAAAATTAAATCTTAAAGAGGTATAAAATTTCGAACCTCTTTTTCTCGCTTCAAACATAATGTGAATTGACGAGTCTCTCTAAAACTTGACCCAGATACCATTCATGAAAATGATAAATCAGAAAAAAATAACAACAGAAAATGTTCATACGTAATGCCCATTTCGACGACGTAACAACGCTTGGAGTGACGTTCGCGATGACGTGTTTTGTGGTGAGGATACAAAAATATTTCTGAGGAATCATCGTAATCCGACGAATTTTAACCACGTTCCTTCCTTGGTCCACGGTGCACAAACACATGAATTTGACGGCCTAAGTTGGAAACCACATATCTCCATTGCGATGTTTCAAAATGCCCGCACCTACACTATGCTCGCCATGCGTCAGATTACAGGAACCGAATTTATGGTATTTCATTTCAGGAAACGAGAGATGAACTGAAAGCTAATATCTAAAATTCATAATAAAGCCATCCACAATTGATTTCACGGAAAGAGCGATGAGAGATAGCCTGAAAGGAAATGTCACTTGCAACGGTAAGTAAACAACTTTATCATCCGAATAGTGATGCGTAACCTGTTGCATACTTATAATTTGGCATTGCGAGAGAGGGGAAGGGGGGCTTACATAAATCAAAACATAGCAAAATCAAGTTACGTGAACAAAACAAAAGGACAGGAGCAGCTACATTTCGTGATGAAACGACCAGGCTCGATTCTGTCACCTCCGGAGAGGCCTTGTGGAGTTTTAACCGAAGGTTAAGTATTTTAGTTTCAAAATGTCCGACCAGATTTATTTTTAAAGTCGAAAATGTCATTTAAACTACGGACGTTTACGTTATGAGTCATGAAATCTCCAAAAAATCATGAAATATAAAGTTTTGTCGAGAGCAAGGACTGACAGTCAAAGCAATGAAATGGGGCGAGGCAAGCTTTTTCAGCCCTTTGAAAGGAAAAGCCGATAAAAATGCCAAAATTTTTTAGGGCAACTATCCAACATTTTCCTCTTCACTTTTTCCGTGAAACATTTAGGTGATCTAACCTTAACAAATAGTCAGCAACTTTGATAAAAATGCGTTCCCTCATGGTGAAAAATTCTGGAAAATACCATGAAATAATCGTAGATCTTACTGATTATGTTCAACCACATAATTCGATAGTCTTCTGTTTAAAATTGGGAAAAATCTCAGTACTGCAATCTAAAGAATAATCTATTCGCATTGAAGAATTTGGCGAGATGGCTGATATGAATGTTATACTTGGCGACAGTGGCGAGGCGTTAATGATCGATTATCGGTATTTATCCATTTGAAGCTATGGTAAAGAATCGATTATTAAGGCGTTCGTTGCGAACACCGTATCTATCGATCCTTTTCCATAGATTTAAGTGGCAGATCAATCGATACATCGCAAAGCACGCCACGCAACTATGTACCTTGCAACTGATAGACCTTGCTCGAGAACTTACGCCCTGTTGTTTGATCATTTCGTCGCCCTCCTGACATAAGGACTTAACTACACTTCGCGATAAACCCTGTCGTCTATGTAATTCAATGCTTTATAGGGCTCACCTCAAAGTGTGGTTCTTCTCTTCTGTCAGCCGAACGACGATTTGGTTTACATGTTATGCTGGCAAAGCACTGTTCAAAGCATCAAGCTGTATGCGCCTTACTTTCTACGCTTAGGCAAAAACAGTTCCTGTGCGTCAGAATAGGGGCATTCTTCCAAACTGCCAGGCACCTTACTACGAGGATCATAGGTAGAAAACCCCTCGGCTATCAGTAATGGCTATGAACTGATCTGATACTAAGTACGTCATTCGGTATATTCGATGGTTTCGCCCTGTTTTCGTACCGATGGTTTGCCACGCTTTTTAAGATCAGCACAATTCAACGACGCTAAATCGAATGGCGTGGTCACGCACTGAATCAGTGCTCCGTTGTTGTCATATTGTTCTGAAAATTCAGCACAAATTTCATTGAACTCAACGCAAAATGTCCATGTTTTTGCACGCAATCTGGCAACTTTGCTGAGCTCCCGACATCTAATATTGATACATTGATTGATAATGAAATCTTCTGAGATCA